TACTTAGATATATATATATATGTATATATACATATATATATATATATATGTATGCATATATATATATATATATATATATATATATATATATATATACAAGGCAAAATAATGTTGTCTACCATTAAGACACGTATTTTATTCTAATTAAAAATGATTTCAGTAGCTTTGGTTAAAATTTTCTCTAAAATCTAATATAATCATGTTTAAATCTGCTGTACAACGTAAGTTTTCATTTTTGCAGTAATTTAGAATCGCTACTACATATTAATATTTGATTAAACAAGAAATTGGTATTGCTTTTTTTTTTTAACTTTTGCAGAAAAAAATGATAACCAGTCTATAAAGATACAATAAAAGACTTAAGTGATTGCAGGTGTTTATTACATTAATTTGGACATTTTTATTATTCTGTGTATTGAAGACGACACTGGATGGTCGGTGCTCATTGGACGTAACGTGTTTTCGTTGGTGTCTGTCAATCAACCAATCGATCCATAATGCCAACAAAATCTAAGAGTAATTGAACATAAAACATGTTATTAAGATAAATGAAAATGTCATGGTATAATTTGATTTGATATATACATTTTAAACGTTAAAGAGCAGGAAATCCGACTTCAATCAACTGATGTTCACACTATTGCGCATGCGTGGAACATTAATAATTCTCGATACATTACAAATGACTGAGATCAATATGATTCGCCCCCATTTTAAGCATTTAAAAACAGGAAGGTATCACCGAAAAAGTAATTCTCATAATTTGTGGTACAATATAGAGATACACTCTAAAAGTCTAAGCCATCTTGCTCAAGACGATTTAGAGTTTATCTCTATATTGTATTTTATGTTTTCTTAAAAGTTTACAAAGACATTATATATCTTAAATTATACACCAATATATATTCTATTAATATGATTTCTTGAATACAGGCCACATGACACATGAAGTAATTAAATTAATGAATTGAATTGTTTTGATGATACAGTACGTTTGAATGACATGACGTCGTATGAACTTACCTAAGTAACTATCAGTCTATAATTTGAGTCAGTTTTTCAGTTATCGAATAGTCTATTGCTGGCGTTTTGCTTGCATCTTGTCAATACATCTAAAAAAGGGATAAAAATCTTAAAGTAACGTTTTTAGTGGCCTGGCAATTTGGTCTTTTATTTTGATAAAATGCCTTTTCCAGAGAATACAAAGCGCCTATATTTTATAATTACAATGTCCAACATTCTCAATTGCCAGAGATATAGGCTGAAATTCGAATTGATCTGTGAATACTAGAATATATATTTATTTTAGGCTCTGTGTGCGTGTCATAAAAAAGTAAAACAGTGTCTTAGGTTTGTAGGATAAAATATAATCAACTCGCCCGAACAGAGGTTAACAGTAACAAGAGCATTTTTATTATTATTTATTGCAAAATCATTCATCTTCTGCCACGTACCCATTTATACTCCTTGGTCTTTAGACTTCACCTTACGAATAGTAACTGTACTTACGTTTGACTTCTGGGTCATTTATCGTCTTGTCAGCACCCAAAAGAAAACTTAAAACGACTTCCATCGCACACTTTGGCTTTTCTTCTTGTAAAGGTCTTTGCTGATCTGTTTAATGAAAATATAATTAAATGATGTAGAGCAATCAAATATTCAAATCAACACATTATAACATCAAAGTTTTTTTTTTTGTTTTTTTTTTTTTAAATTGTTCGGAGCGTCTAACCTACAGTGTCACTTACATTAAAAGGTTTTGCAATCATTGGCATGCGTAATATGCTCGAAAATGTTCATGCTAGGAGCTGATGCTGCCGGAAAAACTGAATGTAATACCGGAAGACTTAAACCTGGCTTATACAGGTATAACATCTCATTTTTAAATATGTCTGTGTTCGTATGCAAAATAAGTTAATAATGTTTTTGTTTTATTTCAATTACTGTAATAGTAAAATTCGAACGAAATACATAATTAACAATAATGCAGACTTTAAAAATATTGCCTCAAACTAACTAAAAGTCATTTGAAATGCATTTTGACGCAAATGCCAGCAAGATAACGCATAGGCCGCAATTCCAATGTAAGCCGCTTGGAACTATTCGCAGACCAACCGCAAATGAGTTGAAAAGTTGACTGATGATGCAGCATGGCGTAGGGAAGTCTACACGGAGATAAACTATTTCGTTGGTTGAGGTGGGGAATTATAGTGGAACTACCGCACCTTGTGTTTAGGCCCAGTGTTATACTATTTAATCTACACATGAATCGAGTTACTTTCTTAATTATTAGACAATAATCAGTGGATAGTATTCCATAAGTACTCACCAAAAAATCGTTTTCCAAGCATTCCCTGAAAACTATGGGCTATCCTATGGCTTCTTTTGTCTTCTTCTTCGTCCCTCTTTTCACCTGTAAACAATGTAATGTAAATGTCAGAGTTCATTATTTCAAAATCGCAGGAGCCAGTCCAGGGAGTCTAACGGCATTCTACTGTAGTAAAATTCACCAAAGGACATTAAAAAAATATGGTTTAGTTTAAAATTTATATAGTTATAGTGTAAAAACAGCGTGGAGAATTTAAACATAAAGCTTCACGCAATGTTGTCCCGTTTTTGGTGACAGTGTCACTATTGTAAACGAATTTAATCAATATTCTATAGATTCGTCTAACTAACGTATAAAATATATTTTACAATCGTTATTAATTGTATTAGTATTAATATATTTATATATTTCCAAGAAGACAATGTGTTAATTATGATAATTATCTGTATACATGTATCAAGGATGCAAATAATTGTGAAGCTAGCCATAAACATCATTATTAATTCTAGAATGCACTGTAATGCGGTTGTAAATTATCTTAACGCCAACAGGGTTTGTCAATTTGCCCTGCGTTTACAGTTATTTAAAAATAGATTCACAAAGCCAACAATGGTAGGCCTACGGTAGCTGTTTAACCAGCATACTGGCATAAAAGTGCTATTGGTCTACAGTAATTGGGTTAGAGTACAACTGACTAAAAATGCGTTGTTTGATCTTTAAGGTCAGGGAGCAAAACTAATGAAAAAAAATCTTCAATATGTTATTACTACAAAGGTAAAAATCATACTACTACTACTACTACTACTACCACTACTACTACTACTACCACTACTACTGATAATGCTACTGCCACTGCCGATGCTGCTGCTACTACTGCTGCTGCTGCTGCTACTACTAATACTAATACTACTAGAACTACTAGGCCTACTATTACTATGCTGCTGCTGCTGCTACTGCTGTTGCTGTTGCTTCGCTGCTACTACTACGGCTGCTGCTACTATTACTACTGCTACTACTATCATTATTATCTTATTATTAATATTAATATTAGTATCCCACTTCCCTTTAACCATTAACTCTGCACCCACGCTAGTACTATTATCACTTCAAATTCAAACCTAAGAAACACTAACAACATTCTTTTTCTATTGTTTTCTTTTATTAAGCGCACTCAACAACATTGATTTTTAATCATGGAGAACGTAGCAACCGACATTTGATTAATTATACGACAATAATTACCATGTTGTTGATCTCTCTTCAAATCTGTCATAAGAACTCCTTGTTGTCCCCACCCATAGTCTCTCAGTCTGTTATTTAGGTATACACTATCGTCTGACGCTAGAATGAGGAAAAATCGTTTTCTGTTTATTAGTTTTGGTTTGCTCTAATTCTAAAGTTATCACGATTTTTAATGTATTTTTTTGAATAAAATATTGAATTTTTTTTTATTGAATATTTTTGAATAAAAATATACCGAATTACTAAAGCATTAAAAAGGCCAATTACATTGTAAACTAATTTAAATTTGAGTTAATAATTTGATGAAAAAAAAATATAATGTTTGAGAGAGTGTATCATTACATAATTGAGATTATAATCCGTGTTACAGCTTTATAAATAAGACCGGAATTGAAACTGGCATCTAAAATTAATTGACAATACTTCAATTGCCGAATCAATGAAATACGAGGAGAAGAAATACTATTCGATAGACTGTTTAGAATAGAACGTTGATTTCAAGGCATTCAATGTTATTAGTTTGTGTATACATAGTTTGTGTATACATGTATACAATAATGTTTTTTAACATAATAATGTACTAAGTAATTTTCAGCTTTCTTTATATGGTGATGATAAGGATCATTATTGTCATCGTAATTATCGTCTTGAGGAATACATTTAGCTGGTTATACGGAACGGGCTTCTAATAGAGAAATAATGGAGAAGAAATGTTTTCGTTTTTAGTACGTGGCGGCAAAATACTGATAAGTTACTGTGGAAAATCACCATGAAAAACTGCTTACTACTCTATTAAATTGAAATAATGGTTAAAATTGTGATGTGTATTGATTACATAATTATGCCATTAGTTTGTCCATTTGGATAATTATTCATATTAGTATTTACATTCTCTTGTCAAGATAATTACACTAATGATAGATGTTCCCAAACATAATATGAGAAAACTGCTTTATATAGTTAATGTTGAAAAATATAAAATATACATTAAATATATAATTTACAAATAAATGTTATTAAGTAGGCATATAAAGTAAAATTATTTTATTAATGTGAAAGTCGTGTGTGACGCAGTAGTAAGGATCTGCTTAAAGTCAAGATCATTAGTTTGAGACCATGTGTCATTGAGCAGGACATTTACCTTTGCCTATTATTATAATATTATTTCCAGTAAGAAATTGTATCTGATGTGAATGATTATATTAGGGAAAAAATTGATATTGGTGAATAACATGCGGAAATTCTCCCTAAGGAACGGTTGATTCTGGTAGGAAAACGCCTGAAGAAGATAGCATAAAAGCATTTGGCTACCTCAGACCTATGGTCACTGGACAAGGTAAGAGCTTCACTTTTGGGTAGAGTAGACTTAAGGTAACCTTCCAGAATTGCATGAACCATATAACAGGTAGGCCTACTGGTATAATATAACAAACATCAAGCATTCTGTACATTTGCAATTGCTTGGCCAACATCTCATTATATATTTTTAGGCCTAGTTGCTTTAAAAAAAATATGAGTTGCTTGAACTACATCTTGCTACATCGTGTTTAGGAAGATTAGAGAGCATACAACAATATACTTCGTATTACATCTATTGGTGTTGCTGATCTTGTCCGACGACTCGGTGTTACGATGACAGTTTAATTTATCACTAACTTAACTGTCAAAATATTTATGCCTTTTTAGACCATTCCCACATTTTTTACCATTAATCAATGGGCTTTGATGATTCTCTTGGATCAAACTATTTTTTTTTTCGTTTTATCAACATAATTTAAAAATAGAGGGAACATATCATAGGCCTATATATTTATACATGGTTAACCCCGGCATGAATCACACTGACTACAAAGAATTAAAGTATTTGTTTTGTCAGTATATTATAACATTACAGTCCACACGATATCAAAGAGCTCTCGATGAAGTACATGTATCTGCAAAACCAGTAAGTTTAGATGAGTTCACCATTACAATTTTCTGGAAATAAGATACCATACCGAATAAAGCTTCTTTCAATTAAGAATCAATTTTTCGATGGAAGTTTTCAAATTTATTATTTTAGCAGACCCAATTGTATTTTTAAATAAAACATAGCAGCCTGTTTATTTGTGTATTATGATGACCTGTCAATGATTTTTAGTACGATATATTTTACCTGAGACAACTGTATAAATATAATATAATATGTGATAGTGTTATCAGTTTTAGTACGATATATTTTACCTGAGACAACTGTATAAATATAATATAATATGTGATAGCGTTATCAGTTTTAATAATAGATTGCAAAAATATACGTTTTGGTGAGTGACATTACGACGCGTGTCTAAGAAATTTTACCAGGCCTTGGCCTACACAACAAACGTGACGCGTAAGAAATCTTATTAAACAGATTCACCAAATCTTTCATCTGAATTCAACAGCCACATAGACCTAAAAGTAAAAGTCCTTGCAATAATGCATTTCAGAAATACCATGTAGTGTAATGTTATTATGCTCATATTGAGAAACAAATATTTGTATCTTGTATCTTGTAACGGAATTTTACAATGAAACAACAAAAATACACTGGATGAGGTATGAAACGTGCTAAATTTAGTTAATTATGGATTAACTATTTCTCATTTTAAGAGTTAAAACGTTACTTAACTATTTTTCCTAAGAATGGAAATGCTATAATGTTCTAAAATCAGGATAGTTTTAGCTGACACTTCATTAAAAAGGATTTGCGGGATAAATTAACAAATCTCAGGAGCCTTACAATGGTATAATGTAATCTGACGGATGAGATAGATTACGTACGTAAGCACACTAAACGCTGAATACGCATCACCAGTGCCTTGAGCGTTACCTTGAAGCGCCAAATAGATATACATTCAATTCCAAATTAATGCACTGCTAGCGAGTAGTATATCTCGTATCCCGAAGCATAATTTAACAGCACTAATGATATTTAATGTATATCATAATAATGCACATTTTTTCAAGGTAAACATTTTGTTATTTGCTACAGTTAATGTTTAGGCAGAATTGAGTAAGCAGAATATTGGAAGAATAGAGAACATCGACACGTTCCGTTACCTAGTGTAATTGTTGCTTTTATTGTATGGTACATGTTCATGAGATGTTGTCATTAGATACAATCGTGAAGTTTCTATCGGAAACGCTAGATATTGATGCAACAAAAAATTCCAATTAAACAAAATTACAATTTATAAATATTTGATACTCTTGATTTATTTGTTACAGGTTGAAAATTTAGGTCTTTAGTCTTGAATGTATATTTAGATTATGTAATATAAGGATCCAGGCCACGTTTGTTTCAAATGAGGTATTACGGTTTACGTTTATCAACTGAAAATTATCATAAATAGACCCAGTTCTATTGTACCACCAACAGGATAGCTAGTCATATAGTTCTATCGATTCTACTAAGTAATATCTCCATGATAGAATTAACCTAATTAACAAACTTTACCATCAGTAAACCCGGCCAAATATCATCATTGCAGTTAATAGTAATGTTACTACCTAGTATGAAAAACCACAAATTAAGGATAATGTAACAGTTTCACTATGAAAGGTGTATTATATGTAATGTTTATTAATATTTCTACGTGTAATATTTTCGCTTTTAAGAAACTTCTATGTATTTAAAAAAATGCAGTACCGTTATACGCTTAACTTTTTGGTTTTCCTTTCTCTTTTAATGCTTTTATGACCCAATGTTTGTTTGGGTTTATTTGACTGTTTTAATGTATTTTATATTGTATATTTGTATGTTCAAAGAGAAATAAATGAAATGAAATGAAATTTTTTCAATACCTGGTTCATCCAAAAACCCTTCAAACGATTTTTCTGGAGTCACCTGAAAAAAAGAATTAAAAGGCAAACGTATTAGTAATCAGCTATGAACACGATTGATTTTATATTTACTGAGATCATGAAGTAATGAAATTCCTTACTCAATGTTAAGGTTAATAGCTGTCAGTAATATAATTTAAACGGAATAAGTAGCTATACTTCTATTATTAACCTTGAGATGACTTTAGGAACTGACTACACCTGCAGATTTTAAGTAGAAAGGCAGTTGAACTATTTAATCTACTGCAGGGCGTTGGTTAGTTTACATGTGTAAGCACAAAGATAGCATTTCCATAATTTTATATAGGCCTAAATATCATCCAATTTTGAAATACTTGTTTTCTACTATATTTAATTGAATTTATAATTATTGTTCACTAACGGTTGTATTAAAAAACAACACCATTATAGAAACCCACTATAATACGGCGTGATCTCAATCACTTTCATGCAGTGGTTAAGCAACTTTAATTGGGAAACACAATACTATTAATCTTATTACCTTTGTTCTAACTATTGTCTTCTCCTTTTGTACTATAGAGTAATTATTAATAACAGTACTAATAAAATCGTAAAATGTTACTCCTACGCATAGTTAATGTAGGCAGAACTTTTTATATTCCTTATTTCCTTCTATTTGTATATTATATAAATACTACTAGATAATTTGCAGTGTTTAAAAATCTAAGATGATAAAACAGGCCTACGTGAAAATCAAATGATTAGTAGTAGGTTCGCATTATACTGCACACAATTTCTTATTGTTTCTGACGTCATAAAGAAGCACATCTGTTTTTATGTAGGTTAATCTGTTTAATCTCTGCAATGTGGTAATGATGTTGTTTTTTGAATGCCATTGATTTTATGTTATCCTATATGATACTCTGGTATTAATTATCACTATATAGGCCTAGATTAATTTACTGTCCTACATATTAACTAAATTCATCACTTTTATAGTGGTCATGAGATAAATCGTCAGAAAAAAAAAACAACTCTGCACTCGATTTTAATAATAGCAAAATATTTGTTTTCAAAACGTTTATGTGATACAAAAGTAATCTAGATTAATTATAATTAATTCATTTATAAATATCTTATTGAAACTATTTATATCTGATGATATTTATAACGAGTTTAATTACTAATTATTTCAGAATAACAAAAGGTGGTGATTGGTGATCTATTTTCACCCTTTTCTCATTTCATGTATTGGTTCGAATAACAAACGGTGGCGATTGGTGATCTAGCAGCAAGAAGAACAAATATCTGAACAAAAAGGGTGGATGAACTTGTTGGGGCCAACGGCCAGCATTGCTTTAGTTTAAGAAGTAGGTTTACATTTATAGGACTATCTTCTTTTAAAAATTTTAATCCCACTATCAAAATATTAAACTTAAAGAGCAAGTGCATAAAGAGGCTTTTTTGCATGGTGCCTACACAAAATTCAGCTATTATAATTATAATTATTATTTATGGAGAATATATTCAATATAGATGTAAATTAAGTTTAATTTTATAGGCCTAAACTGTTTTAAGTAAGTAATTTTAAGTAAATTGCCATGCTGGTTTAATGATTCATGCCAAATAATATCCTGATCATTGAAGTTTGACTTTTGACCAATAAGCATCATCATCATCATTATCAAAGATTTAAAAATAAAAAAAATCACCATTAATTTGAAACAGATTAGCAATTTTACTACTCCATTTGCATTTACTATTTAATTCAATACATTTTATTTCTAAATATTCTCTTTGAAAATTTCAAATTTACTAAGAAAAAAGTCAGTCATTATCATCCGGAAAGTAATGGATGCGGAGAAGCCGATTAAAAGTATTGAATGTTTGCTACTATACACCCACAGCTAAAATCGTTCTGAATAATCGAAGGTCTTTACACAGATTAATATAAACGGAATAAGAATCGATACTATTATTATCATATATTAATCTTTAACTATTTAATGCTAGAAAACACTATTAAGAGTTCTAAAAAGATACCAATAAACAAATTGAGTGCCAATGTGTCATTTACATATGCCATAGGGAAGACTTTATTAATCTGCTGCAATCTCTCTGAATAGTGATCATTGTTAGACTGATTACCATACAAAGTAAACTTCTAACAAATGTTCAGAGAAGCTTGTGATGATTGCCCAAGGATCATTCTTCTCATTCACTATAAAGAAAGATCACAAAACATTTTATTCATTATAAAACTAAATATATTTCGGCGCTTTGCACTTTATTTTAGTAGTAATCTATCACCCAAAACACCATTTTAATGTGTCAACTATGCAATTAAAATTGTCATAGACACACCTTCTTTTAAATGTACTAAGGGTTCGTATCGCAATAGTTAAAAAATTAAATACAATTATCCCGGTCACATTTTCTAATCTTTAGGGACGGTATGTATCCATAATTTCAGTAGACACTGTATAAACGGGACAGGGCAGTTATAAATTTTTATTACTTGTGTTGTTACAATACTTGTTGGGTAGGCAGTGGTGTAATACTGGGGCGGGGCCTTGTGGCTCTGAGACTGGGGCCCTTTTTGGGTCCTGGTTGCCATTTGTAAGATTTTAGATGTGCTCGTGGTTATTCATGTTTATTATTGTATTCTAAATGTTTTAACGACGAAATATATTATATGACATTATTGACCCTATGAGGACTCTATGAGTAGGGGCACGTAGGGGCTCCCGAGGATCAGGGCCTGCGGACCGCCGTATGAGAGCGCACAGGCGTTACGCCACTGTGGGTAGGCAAAATTGCGCACAAAGTTTCTTTAAAAAGGATTTTATAAGGCTGATTAATTATCTTATTCTTCGATCTAAAGCCAATTACGAATGAACGTTCTCTGTTGTTTTAAAGTATAAACAGAACCTTTAATTAAAAGAGACCTTTAATTTAAAGAGACCTTTATCAAAATATATCCCCATAGATATTTTGACCCATTATCTTCAAGTACGTACGTACTAAAGATATCAAAAGTCACGTTTCCTTCAGTAGCAATTACCCACTCCATAACAGATATATCTCAATAATAATCAAACAAACTTTATTTTAATAATTATTTAAAATACTTGCTAGTTGATAATGTTTTGTCCCTCATCATAATTCGAACCCAATCTGTTCTACCAACGGAGCAGACCAAGCTAATACGCTCTTAGATTTTTCCAATAGGACACCATTTTCTAAGCAACGAAAAATCTCATGATTTGAATTTTGACATTTTGAAATACAAAGTCTATACCAGCCTATAGGCTACACATTAACACACATTAGACCAGAACGAGGACCAGTAGGAAAATAGCATGCGGTGCCTGCCTTAGCTTCCGTTTAAAGATTTGATTATCCTGCAGTTTAGAAGATGTGGAACGCAAAAAGTGCACTGCCCGTGATCGGGAATATATTGTGTAATACGCAATAATAGGCCGCATACGTACAGTAGTAAATCACAGTACAGTAATTACCGATGGGAAAATACGCTTTTCAAAAAAGTATTATCTTTTAATATAACTATCTATCTATCTATCTATCTATCATGCTACTAAGATCTATCATCATACAACTAAAATAACGTATTGTGGTTTTTCTCTGTCTACCAAAAATCTTCAAAAATATTTCAAGTACAATTATGATTTTCACACATGTTGTAGCTACCACCAACGGGACGAACATCCGCTACATTAGGACTCGATTTTGTTATTCTACATGTGTCTTTTAGGAAAAATTAACACATTTTCTTGCTGAGTACTTCCAAATTTCATAACTGTCGTGACGTCATTGTGCCGCGCACCCGATCTAATATACATGTTGCAAGTCCCACATGCACACATTCATAGCCATATATATCCCAGAGATACCACTACACCGCATTCAAACAACGAACACGTCAGAGTTAACACGTTATTACTGTATATGTTGCATTTTCACATGCAAGAGGGTACTCCAATGTAATGGACAATTCCTTACAATGACAAGTCGGCAGAGATACTCACGAAAAACATTATCTACAAAGAGGTCCTTTAGAAAAATGTAATGGCAAGGTAAAATAACATCCTCAATGATTGCCTCCTCAACATCCCATAATATTTAACTATAATAATGTCTCACCAACTTTTCCCATTCATTTAACACCGTGCGTGGCACGGATATTATATGCCAGTTATATATTTATATAAACAATTAGATACTTATAATCGACTGTACCTAATCGACTGATAAATACATGTCTTTAGTAACTAAGTGAATAGTACTAATCATACTACTTGGAAATTACTTCAATATATGTTAAGTTAGCCATAATGGCAATACATCTAACTTTTGATAACAGGTTTGTAAGTAAGATCCGATTTAAAACAATAAAGTGATCATTACCGGGGATTAATGTCTGCATGAAAAATGTGTTATGATATACGTAACGTCATTCCCATATCTGTTTTCTGTGTCTATTATAATTTAATTACACTTCAATTCCTGATTTAAAAACAGTTTTTTCGTTGAGCTAATATACATGATATATACAATTTAACATATTTTAAATTATTTTATACATTTAATTTAATTTTGTATTTCTATATTTAGGCAAATTATTAGCTCCCAATTAGAAACTATACGATAGATTATTTATCTCACCAGAAATAAACATAAATAATACTACAGTTTATAGCATCCTTTCATCTTTTAAACAAGCAATTTAATAATAAATAAAATTTAATAATAATAATAACAATAATAATAAATAATAATAATAATAATAATAATAATAATAATAATAATATAATATTAATATTAATAATATAAATAATAAATTTAAGATTTAATTGATTTTTAATTGTTCCCCAGATTTCATTAACGACTGTATCATTTTGAAAGCTATTTTCCCTATTAATCATAATCATTATTTCTTTTGGAAGGAAATGTATTGTTGCCATCATAATTTCAACACAAGCCCTTCCGATTACCGTTCCTCAGATACTCTAGTAAACTGAGCTGAGATATTTTCTCGTTAATAGTTACATTGTTACGTTTAGGAGTGGAAAAGGATTAACCAATGTTGTTCATGCAGTATACGCTTCTTAGGCCTAGTTCAGACTAGGTGGATAAACCCGGCTCAACTCACCAGGTTTATCCACCTGCCAATCTGAACTAGGTGGCTTATCTCAAGCCGGGCTGTGTTCCTATAGTAACTAGGCCTGGCGCGCCACCGTGTTCAACTTTTCTAAGCCGAGCTTTAATCGTTGCGGGGGTGGGGGTCTTGCATTGACTTCGGTTGACGAAAGGACCAATCGGCATTCAATTACGTACGCTGTGGGCGAGCGTACGTTTCGCGAGCAATGTTTTGAAACACGTTTCCTGGTTACGGTTCATTATTATGCAAATTATCGCCTGGTTAAGCCCGCTAGTCTGAACGCCCGGAAAAGTTAAGCGGGGCTTAACGTTGAGCCGGGCTTAACTCAAGCCTGGCTTATCTCCTGGCTATCTGAACGTAGCCTTAACCTCATACTGCAGCTCAGGTGGTAGAATATCCGAACAATTAATATATATATAATTTAAAGGTTTTAATCCAGAACAATATCCTTATGTGATATTATATTATCATCATTACAGCATTACTGGTGTTGAGTTCTATTTTTGAAACATTTTCCTAATAGACTTATTGATTGATTGGATTTTCAAGGACAGAACATCTTTGGAAAATGTACATGGCCAATAATCGTGTAATATATTGGCTCCCAGACGACCCATCGATACATGTGTCTTCCTCTTGAAATGATTCTAATTTCTTTATTTGTAATTAATTGTATATACATCTACATTTACGTTGGCTGCAAATGGTTGTACATGTCTATTGCTATAAGGTTTCTTTAGGTGACAAGTGGTGGGAAAACATCAAGATCCCTGTGTTACCAGGTTTAATTAAAATTTCTCAGAATATTTTAATTAGGCCTAAAAATAGAAATTTTGTCAATTAATTAATTAAACCTCAATTCGATGATTTTTCATTATTAACCATCCATGATACAGTTTTCCCCCAGCAAATCTAAACTATGAGAGGTTGTTAAATTCCAGAAATGAGAGCTTGATTGATCAAGACTATCGGTACCGATTGAAGGTACAGTGTATAATGAAAACGTGTATTGAATGCGATGAGCAATTACTCGTAAATGAGTCCATTAATATATCCTTTGCAAAGCTTAGGGCTATCCCGAACAGGAATGGTAGCTTTGCATCGATTAGTGTTCATTTCTCTTCATTTAACATGACACAGATGCTATCAATTGACGGGTCGTTTTTCGGATATAGATAGCTAATCTACGCAAGTATTATCCTTTCAAAAACATAGCTATAATAGGTATGCTTCTTAGAATTTTGTATGGATTATGGACATGTCTGATTTGAAACGATTTACGGATGAAATTAGTAAAAAAGCTGATTATGTATTTATTGTATTTATCCAATCATTCAGTCAAACATGATATTTCAATATTAATATAGGCCTACGCCATCATGTGAAGCAGTTAGTGGCAGTGTTCCACTGCGCGTTTGGAAAATGTACGTGCATTCAAGAGTAAAAGAGGAAAATAAATAACTTTGTCAAAATCGTGTGCACAACTAAGACTAAGAATACTCCACAGATAGCGTAGGCGGTTTCATGTAGTAAATAATGATAATGATACTAAAATCAGAGATGTGTACTACGAAGCTGTTTAAGGGACATGATGAATTTTTATTTTATTTTCCTAACCCGTACGTACGCCATATTAAGGCGTACGTACGCCTTATTAAGTCGTACGTAGCCTTATGGGTTATTAAGGCGTACGTAAGCCTTACTAATAACCCATAAGGCGTACGTACAACTTATAAGGCGTACGTACGACTTAATAAGGCGTACGTACGCCTTAATAAGGCGTGCGTACGGGTTAGGAAAATAAAATAAAAATTCATCATGTCCCTTAAACAGCTTCGTAGTATCCAATGATCATGGGTACACCGTAAACTTTGCACATGACACCTCCTGTTTGCGGATACCGATGGCGACGATTTTTTTTCAATATTATTATTATAAAAATTTCTATGGTTCATGTAGAAAATTAATCAGCTTTTATGAGCCATCTCTTACAATGCTAAACAATATTGTAAATGAATGTAAAGGCGAAATTGTTCGGCTATAACTTACCCTGCCTTGCTGTAGGGGTGACGCTCTACTCGTTACAAGTATGGAACTCAGTGTGATACACAGACTAACTTCTACAACAAACCTAATCATAGTACTATGATGTTCTCTGAAAACAAATAATATTAGAGAAATATAATTATAAATGTATTTGAACTCATCTATCTATAATTAAAGAATATTTCTCACAATACACGTTATAACCTTTAGCTTTTCACGGTATATTATTCAATTGATAAACGGTAATTGAACCCACGAAGACTGCAATAATTGTTGCGTTTAATCAACGGAACTTTATTCTTTCGCACCTATCTGGTGAGTGGCTTATCTGTATTTATGTTTGATTTAGAATCAGTGACACTTAATAAGACGAGTTTTAAAAGCATACCGCAAATAATACGCTTGAGACGTATTTTTTGAGCAGTTTTATCCATAATAATTCGTTAATTCATTTTGCTTTATTTCAATTTATCTAAAATCACAACTTTTTTCCTTGAAAACTCAACTTGAAAATATAATAAATTTAGTTATAATATAGGTCATCTAAAATTTTTTTATTGGGACTGTGTTCGAAATATTTATTTTTTCTTTAAAGAGTGAACAACACTCGTGTATATATTGTTTCTTTTCTTTTTAAAAGAAAATGTATACGTCTATCTATTGGGAACTTACCTGGTCTCATAATTTTTCATCATAGCATTTTGGATTTGGATGATTTTACATTTTTACAGTATTTCCTTCAAATGGAGACTACAATGAGTTATATATATTATATTTTATTGTATATAATATACAATATGTATGCATATATATGTGTATATATATGTATATATATATTATGTTCAATATATATATGTATATATATATATTATGTACATATACATATATATATATATATTATGTTCAAGTTTGATTTGATTTGAATCGGCTTTCAAACACACAGAATTTAAAACATGATAATAATTTTCATAACATATAACATCCATTTTCATATTTACAATAAAATCCGAATTTTAGTTAAATATCTAAGCTTGATAAGTTTATGTTCCTATATTCGAACCCAAGTCATATATATGAATGTGTGAGCATATATTCGATCCCAAGTCATCTATACACTTACAGATATGTAGGCCTATATATAATATATACAATAATAGGAAATACCATGTATGAACTTTAAAAACACTTTATTGGAGAAAACCAATATAATTTCGACCTATCCTTAGGTCTTTTATTAGGTACATTATGTATGAAGATGGAATTGATCCAAACATGAAAGTGTAGGAAAACCAATGTTGAGAATTTGATAGAGAAAAAGAAGAAATAGCAAGTTATTTTTAGACAGAGATGCGGAATAGTATCTGTGACGTGATTTGAGGGAAAATTGTCAAAAGAAGTGAGTAGTATAATTTATAGTTAAATGAAATGCAGAGGGTTAAATAATGTTTACACAAACCTCTCTCAGGAGAGAGATACCGGTATACCTTTTCACACATTTAAGCATAAACGCTACCTTTAATAAACAAAATTAAGCAACTTTTTCGCCCCATGTTATCGTTATGTGGAAAACGACAAAAATTACTTATCGCTTATAGCAATAAATGATAGACAAACTAAATTATACATAATTTTTAAATATATTCAACAATATTCTTGAGGGTGGTCCATCCGTATACTTCGTCTTCCTCTAAACAAGTCCAAGGAACATTTATTATTCATATACAGGAGGCCTCCGTCCCAAATAATATACAAAGTATAATATTAACAAAATTAGAGTGCATCTATATTCTTTTCTACGTTCAATGTGTAAAAAAAAGCATTTTGAAAACTCTAAAGTGAGATTAATATTTTTGGTAGATATTAAATGAAGAAATTCAAATTTAGAAGGGTTATCTTAGTAAAAGGTAAATAGAAATTTAGTTCTAATATCTGAATAAAAAGGGCAAACTAAGGTAAAATGATATTCATCTTTGACAGTTTGTAGAGAACATTATTTGCATACTCTTTCATTTATATTAACATTATACCATCTTCCTCTTTCTAATTATAATTCTAATATCCACAATCTTAATTTAGTAAGAATTTGTTTATGTCTGTAATTTTCTGTAGGCCTATTTGTTAGATAATCCTCTACTAGCTCTAAATGCGTGTTTAATTTGTGAATATAATTTTTTTTAGAAATGTTGCCTAATTTCCTTATAAAAACTTTTATTCTCAATGTCTGTTAACCTTTGCTCAAAATTAAATACAAAATCATTAATATCATTAACTTTTTGCGCATGCCAAATATCTTCAAACCCAATAGAACATAGACCTAATAGTTTGTTTTTTTTTCATATAAGGTCCAACAAGGTTATTTTTTGTGTTGTTCTATATTGAAAGTTATAGTACTGCTTAATAAATTGTCTATGAATTACTATTAACCAATAACTAATAACTTTAACAAAACATGCAACATGTATTATAGGGAATATCCCGCATTCTCCACTAACAGCTGGGTGCTGAGTTGCCTCTCCTAATATGTATTTACAGAATTTTATTTGTATCTTATCGATAGATGAAACATCATCACATTTCACTGCATAGAATAAAATCGGTAATCTTTCAACATCAAAAATATGATTCCAAAAGTTAATCGGTAAATTGCCAAACGTCCCTTTATTCGCTTATTTACAATTATTTTCCTTGGTTTTATTCAATTTTACTATTTGAATTTAAAGTAACTCCTAAATACTTATATGATTTAAAAATATCGATTGTAGTCCCATTGTAATTCCATTTTTTAAATTTCTAAAGTTTATTCCATAAAAAAAACAAAAAAACAACAATGTTACTTTTGATAGTAATTGTTATTGTCGTGATGGAATAATAGACAATAACTGGATTTGCGTCAGGTGAAACATGTATAGGTGTAATTTTGCCCTACCTGACGTGGAAATTTACCGAATACTCAGTACGTTTGAAAACTACGCTGCTGCTACTTGGACTCGAATTCAACCCTAGCCATCAGACGCAAGCTCGGTGGTCTAGAGGTATGATGCCAGGCTAGTGATCTGGAGATCGTCGGATCGAGTCCCACTCGAGAACAACTTGCAATTTTCTTCGCAGTTGTTTTCAATTGTACTAAGTATTCGGTACATTTCCACGTCAGGTAGAGCAAAATTACACCTATAAATGTTACTTTTGTTAACTTTTACAGTTAAATACCCTGTCTCACACAACTATATAATTTATTTAAATAATTGTGTATTACCCACGTACAGTATTACCAAATAATATAAGATTATCTGCATAAAATAAATGATTAATTTTTAGATTACCTATTTGAATTTTGTCGCTTTCGTTCACTTCATTTAGCTTTCGACTTCAATCATTTATAAAAATATTAAATAAAAATGATGATAATGGAAACCCCAGTTGCATTCCAACACAATATCGAAAAATATTACTGATACATTAGTTCAAAACAATGTTATAGAAAGAATAATGTACAGAGGAATGACTTTACAAAGAATTAAAAAAAAAAATCGACACTCATCACAATTCGATCCCGGGACATGAAATTTATATACATAAAATATTATACCATGAATACTTTGTGACCAATGGAAGTGTTAGTGCGATTAAAAGCTGAACAGTGTTTGTTAAGCCGACCGGCCAGCCTATTCGATCCCACGGAGGATGCAGCGCGACAAGGCGCGCACATGCAACGGATCGTGTTTAATGGCGATCTGCTCAGTATGCCACCGACAAGCAGGCGGCGTCGCGTTGTCAAGAGAGTAGACATGAACTCGTATCTCGAGTCACACGAATATAAGCATAGTAATTCTTATATGGACAGGACGAACAAAGATCTATATCGACAGTGCGCTAAGAATGGCAAGTTGTAGCTTTGAGGTTATCCTTTTTTCCCAAATTAATAATGGCAGTAATCACTGTCGCGGGAACAGATTTATACTTGGTCTTAGGATCAAGTCCATCCTAACATTGTTGTTGAATCTCAATATCTATTTTCAAACTGCCTCCTTGTCATGAATAGCAGCTGGAACAAACACGTAGGCCTACTCTGTAATACGCAAACTTTTACAGTATTAAGTTGGCTACATAATATTTTGGAATGCTTCGGTTAAAGCCTATATTATCTATATATTGGAGCCTATCTATATATTGGACGGTGTAGCAGCAGGCATGCAATAAATCAATATAAAAATAATAAATATTCAAATCAAGTTGCTGCTCAGCACTGGGAACACAAATAATGTATAAATGAAATAGATAATAATACAGTGCTGAAATATATAGGAACATGATTTTATAAATCGTATCAAACATAGTTTATCAACGAAAGTTTCTAATTATAGTTGTATGGAAAAGAGGTCTCTGGTGGAAATCGAACCGCCATCTCTGTTCCTATATATTTGAGCACTGTATTATTATCTATTTGATTTACATATCAAATATATATATATATATATATATATATATATATATATATACATACATTATTAAATGCAGGTCAGAACATTTGTAGATATAATTGAGAAGAAAACTTACCTGGTAAAATATACCACGATTAAAATAATACTAAAATACACTCTATACAATGATCGTAAGTTAGTAATAGCAGGCGGGAAACACAACGATATAAAGCTCAGGTTTGTATCACACGGCAGATGTGATCAAGATTCTCTGGAAAGATTTCGCACCGGTACCGGTATTTAAGGTTGCGGGATTGATGACGTAGCGAGCCTGTTGAATTAGAATGTTTTTGATTGCATTCGCGATCTATAAAATGTGGTTGCTGGAACACTGTCTCACAAATATATCGTAATTAGAAGTTTGAAAACAATCACATTAATGCAAATTAGTCTCCAGGCAACCGGAAATAGATGCCATAATATATGATTAAAAACGAGGGTAAAACGATAGGTCTACTGCGCATGTTCCCCACCCCCATAAGTAATTTACATAATAATTAAAATGTGAAGGTGGTTGTACTCTGAATAATTAAAAACTATATTAATTCTGAATCATTTTATTGACTTTAATTACCCACGACCAGGTCAACAAGACATTAACATCACTACGTAGAATATATAACAATGTCACCTATAAAAATCGGATTTAATAAAGATTACTTGTAAATAAAGTACGTGTTTCGCATTTTAGACATACTTCGATCTACAGGACACATCCCTAAGCTATCTCAAATCACACTTACTTTCGGTGAAAATAAACTGTTAGGAGATAGAATGTAAAATGGTTAAAGTACGGGATATTAATGTAGTCCCTTATAAACGTTAATTCTTCTCGCGTAGTAATAGCTTAAAAATATGTTGCATGTCAAAAGAATTCAGATTAAAGATTGTAGTGTCCACAAAAACAACCAAATGTAGCTCAGCAACAAAACATAATATAAATGGCATGTATACCTATATTGGAAGAGGTTTGGCGCAGCGAGAACGATTTGATTTCCCAACATCGAGGTTTCGATCCCACCTTGTGTACTTCGCTTTTGTCCTTGAGCAAGGCACTTTATCTGCGTTGCTTCTCTCCACCCTATAAGTACCTAGTGTGGGTTGCCTGCTATTGTACTAATCAGGGGAGGATCCAGAGATGTCCGAAAGTGAGGGGGGGGGGGCGCGAAAGTGGGGCAGATCGAGATAGCACTATCCTAAAGGTCCGGGGGCATGCTCCCGCAAAAATGTTGTGTTCTAGACGCCCAAAAAATAACATAGTAAAACCTAATAATAATATAAAAAAGCCTAATAATAATAACCTAATAGTAATATAAAAAAGCCTAATAGTAATAATAATAATAATAATAATAATAATAATAATAATAAAAATAATAATATTAATGACAATAATAATACTAATAATGGACCCGTAGTAGGCCTTTCACACTACAGGTATCCTAGTCTAGTCCAAAGCGCTGGCCAAAAGTGTACTGCACTGCACATATGCCTAGTTCTGTTTAAAGGTAGGCCTACCTATGTCGTTCCTTATAGTGGAGTAACGTCTCTACCCCATGATGCATAGTTCGATATAGTAGAGGATAGGCCTACAGGTCATTAAGACCTAGCCAAAGTAATATCAAAGTAGTTAGGCTAGGAAGGGGTATACGGGTCATTAGGACCTTAGTGAAGCTATGCCCCTACCCCTCTATGCATGTTATGATTATATATTTTTATAACACACCGGAGATCACATTACACACTGACACAGACTATTAACTCAGAGCATGTGGAAGTAGAGCAGGTTAAACATACGCGAGTGTAATATATAATACGTATCTCATATAATAATTTTATTTGCTATGTACTGCATATCTACTTCATCCACCTTATAACCTATGCGGCATTATATTGTCCACTTAAGCAAAGTTCTCCTCAATGAATTGATAAATTATGAAATTGGATTGGTATGCAGAAATCTCTTTATGATTTCTATGATCTCTCCATTTTTGCATTATTAATGGCGAATTCCCTCAGGAAAGTATGAGAAAATGAATAAACGCGAGAAAGAAAATTAGTTCACTCACTGAAATAATGTTCGGACTTACATTGAATCTCATGACGTGATAATTAATTTTGAATGTAAAATTCAGTGGACTCTATGATGATTTATTTTTCTTTTATGTACAGTAACGCTTACAGTATCAATATTTATTATAATTTCTTGGCAGCCACAAGCGGAATAGGAATTAATTTTTTTTTAAATAATTTTGATTTAATTAAAAAACATACCTTACTTTGAAATAATATCACTTATTCAAGCACACAGAAAACAGCACTTAACAATTGAAACACATGAAGAATATCTTTGTTGGAATGGGGATATCACAGGGAATCTGGAAGTCCGCCATAAAGGACATCCTTAGAGAATTATAAGTTCTCAGAAAAGCAATAGGCCCTGGAACAGAGTAGTTTTAGCTCAGGACTCTACTGTTTGAAAGATTTCTATGAAAAACTATCACACAGTGTTGACTATTGACTAAGGCGAAATTGGTGAGGTGTACTTCTTGTACAAAGAGAACATATAGTACACTGTTCTGACTATGTGGACACAGTGTGTTATCAGTATGGACACGGTGTGCACACCGGGGACACACTCTGTCGACACACATTTGTGGAGTCTATCCAGTTATGAAACAGAAGGAGAACTGTGTACACACAATACAACAGTACAAGTCTCACCAATTCCACCCTATATATAGCCTACACTAAGTGAACACATGATCTTTACTCTGTTGCAGTGTACATTCTGTGACATTTTTGTTAGGGAAAAGCCAAATGGGAAAATATCGAGAAAAATTGTAATATAGAACATAATTATACCGAAGTGTCTTTTGGTACAAAAAGAAAGAACGAAAATGAAGTCAAAATCGTGAGTCTATCCTAAACCCGGGGAACATAAACACCCCCTCCTCCAAAACAGGAGTAGAAGAACAAAGATCATCGCACTGTTCTGTGTCAGTTTAAATACCAGTAGTTGGTAGGCTAAAAGGTGTCAGGTGTAAGTATGAGCATCTGGCGCTCCTATTCTAAAATGTACAGAATGAAATAAAGTAATGGGATTGAACTGGAGGTAGACATTGAACTTAAAACGGCAATTCTGAAAGGGTGTGTTTTAAATATTTTCTGAACTAGAGTAAACGGCAAGCTGGAACGGAACGTACAAAATAGGTGACCAAAAAAGACAATTACTTATACTCGATCACATATTAATGAGGTAAAAAATGTATGGATGATATATGACTGATGTGTGTATTATGTTGTGGATTTATACATTGGCGCTTCTTCTGAGAGTTCATATGTATTTCAGTACGTTTACTAGATGAATATACGGTTGGTTTAGATCCATATATCACAAACAATGACAGATAATGAGGTTTTCGTTAAAAAAAAAATGAAACGGCTAATAATAACAAAAAAAGTTTCATTTGAACGTTTAATTGGACTTTTACTGAACTATTTGGACTGCCTTCCTATAATAATAGGGAGATTTCGCAGCCTTACGAAAACGATAACGAATACCAATACGTCATTATCATTATCGCCATTCGTAACTAAAACATTCTTGATAATAAGTTGTACGAGCTGAATATGATACTTGATAGCCTAGTCCTGAATAACCTTCGTTGTGACAGATACGCTAATGTAGGGGGAGGGTTTTCTAAAAATTTGATGACGTATCCATATTCGTTATCCTTTTTGTAAGCTTGCGAAACCTCCCTATTACTAGGCATAAAAATAACGGTAAAGAGCTCGACTTAATAAAAACAAATTAAAGTACAAGTTGTTTTCAACAATGTTACGTCCCTTAATAAAATATAAACATTTACTATATCCCTAATGACTTTTTTTAACTAAAATAATTTTACGTAAGAGCAAAATATAACGTCATCCCAATAAAAGGAAGATTATTATATAGTTTGTCATCCCAATGGCAATACATTCCACATTTAGAGCATTAGTCACCAGCATTTTATCTCATCTATCCCGTAAAAATTAATTAAAAGTAGTAGAGATCCAGGCTGCGAAATGCATTCTCACAACAATCTCTCACCACAAGTTCTACCCTATTGATTTGATAATTTGTTGACAGTTGTTGTTTAACAAACATTTGTGGATTTTAAGAACGGTACTGGAAAACTAAAGACATTAGTAGAATAAAGGATAGAAAACAAACCCTCAGAACTATTGTATAAAGAAAATGGTTTACTAAAGGGAAGCGTCAAAATGTACCTCATTGGCGAAATTTAAAATGATTCCTTTGACGTTCTTTTAAGCTTCAAACTGTTTATTATTATACATTTTACAAGATAATTTATCGTCCTATTGTAATCAAAGAACTATATTACATAGGCCTATTTATATATTGGTTTATGACAGTAATATCAGTTTCGCTATTGTCAACCCCTTTGTGTTTTCAAGTACGGTATCTTTTCTTTTATATATACTGCTTGTGTTTGCCATGTTTTTGCATATTCATATTGTATATCTTAATTGCAAAAAAAAATTAAATGGAAATGACTATTGCTGTTTAATCTTAGTACTCTGTTTGCTAATAAATAGGATAAATTGTATAACATGATATATTTTTTAGTTGAAAGTAAATTATTCTTATATTCTTATTTCAAAAGAATTTAGACCATTTGTGTAATTCACTTATGTCTTAATTCGTGTGCTGCTCAGTTTACAAAAAAAAAAAATCTGTTATCAATGAATCTCATAGTATACTCTCTCACAACGTTACTACCCTTCTCAAAACGTCATCACTCGTGAGAGAATGCGTTCCTCTTCTATTCTAACTCATGGACTAGACACAGCTCAAAGTTAGGATCAGACAATCTAGTCAAGTTCAACATCAACAAGACAGAACAGATTGTTCTTTCGCGGAAGCGCAATAAAACCTACCCTGCTGTAAAGATGAATGAAGAAGATATTCGATCTCCGACTTTCTTACACAATTTGGGATTAACGCTTCAGATGTCAACTGGAATTTGATTGATTGATTGATTGATTGATTCGCTTGCTCATCGACGCCATGTTGCAGATCTTTCCTTGTACTATCGGTACACTTTTGGCAAATGTTCAACTGAAATGAAGGCTATTTCCCCCCATGCCATACTAATGCCAGGCAGACCAGGTCTGCCTTCACTCATATATTTTTAGTTCAAACTTACACTTATCGTACTATTTCCC